CTCTGGAGGAAGAGACCACCACCACTTTTTCAATTTTAGACCTTATTGTTATCCCCTCAATTTATAGATAAGGAAACAAACCAAGAGAGAAGAAGGGCCTTGCCTAAAGTCATAAGGAGCCTGTCACAGATTGAATTGTGTCCCCCCAAAATATGTATCAATTTGTCTGGGCCATGATTCGCAGTATTGTGTGGTTGTCCTCTATTTTGTGATTGTAATTTTATGTTAAAGAGGATTCGGGTAGGATTGTATAACACCCTTACCAAGGTAACATCCCTGGTCTAATGTAAAGGGAATTTCCCTAGGGTGTGGCCTGCACTACCTTTTATCTTACAAGAGATAAAAGGAAAGGGAAGCAGGCAGATAGTTGGGGACCTTATACCACCAAGAAAGCTGTGCCAGGAGCACAGCGCGTCCTTTGGACCTGAGGTTCCTGCGCTGAGATGCTCCCAGACCAAGGGAAGACTTGATGACAAGGACCTTCCTCCAGACCCAACAGAGAAAGCCTTCACATGGAGCTGATGCCCTGAATTTGGACATGTAGCCTACTGGACTGTGAGAGAATAAATTTCTCTTTGTTAAAGCCATCCACTTGTGGTATTTCTATTATAGCAACACTAGATGACTAAGACGAAGCCCATATGATTATCTAGGTCTGGACTCTTGATTCCCCATTTGGTGGGACAAAAGCTATTTCCTTTTCAGTATCGTCAAATGATCTCCAAGATCTCTACTTTTCTAGTTTTGAAAATTCAATCCCAGGAATGTCCAACTAATTCCTTTGTTAAAGCTCAGTTCCAGTTATAACAAAATTGTAAGAAGTTATCTGCTTCTGGTGGTGCTTCTTTCTCCAGGGACTGGTCCCTCCTGATTACATGTCCAAATTACGTGAGACGAAGTCTTGCCATTCTCACTTCTAAGGAGCATTCTGGCTGTACTTCTTCCAAGACAGATTTGTTCATTCTTTTGGCAGTCCATGGTATATTCAATATTCTTCACCAACACCACAATTCAAAGGCGTCAATTTTTCTTGGGTCTTCCTTATTCATTGTTCAGCTTTTGCATGCATATGAGGCGATTGAAAATACCATGGCTTGGGTCAGGTTCACCTTAGTCCCCAAAGTGACATCTTTGCTTTTTAACACTTTAAAAAGGTCTTTTGCAGCAGATTTGCCCAATGCAATATGTCGTTGATTTCCTGACTGCTGCCTCCATGGGTGGTGATTGTGGATCTGAGCAAAATGAAATCCTTGTAGTACATCAAGAGGGAACTGCCAGAAATTTAAGCTGGATTGCTGATGTCAGATGGATCTTTGCTGAAAGCAGAGAATACCAGAAAGATGTTTACTTGTGTTTTATTGACTATGCAAAGGCATTTGATTGTGTGGATCATAACAAATTACGGATAACATTGCAAAGAATGGTATGACTATTGTAACAGGGTAGCAGTAGCGTCTAACCTCATCTAACTTCAGGGAGAATGAGAATCAGCATTAGCATCAGCCCAAAGTTGATTCCTATGAGGTGGAGGTCAGCCATACCTCCACTCTCCAACCTTTTTAACCATTTCTGACACCAGCTGTATTCCCCACAGCACTCTCTACTTCTCTGCTGGGTTCATTGCAATGGCCACACAGAACTCACAGACTATCCTCACAGTTATATGGTTTATTAGGGAAGTAACATGGGATTGGAGCCTGGTGGCACACTGGTTAAGGGCTCAGCTGCTACCCAAAAGGCTGGCAGTTTGAATTCCACCAGCCGCTCCTTAGAGACCCTATGGGGCAGTTCAACCCTGTCCTGTAGTGTTGCTGTGAGTTGGAATCGACTCGATGGCAGCAGGTTTGGTTTTTTGGTTTAACATGGGATCAGGATTAAATTGGAAGTAACAGGAACATTGGTCAGGAAGCACACAGGCAAGATCTGGAAAGCTCCCTCAAAGAGCACATTGCTCCCTTCTTTAACATAGGACAGCTCTCTCTCTCTCTCTCTCTCTCGCACTCTCTCTCTCTCCCGCTCTCTCTCTCTCTCTGTCTCTCTGTCTCTCTCTCTCTCTCTGTCTCTCTGTCTCTCTCTCTCTCTCTCTCTCGCTCTCCTCTCTTGGCAGGCCTCCTCTTGGCCCCCTAAGGACAGGCCTCCTATGCCCCTGCTCAGGCCTGGCCTCACACCCTGCTCAGGCAAGTGTTACAGCTTTTTAGTTCCACCAACAAGTGCCCGAAGGTACCCTACTCTCCTGCAAGCCTCCTGCCCAAAGGCCCTCAGCTCTCTCACTGTGGACCAGCAGTCCCCTTTAGCTCTGCTGACAAGTGCCCAAAGGCACCCCACTGCACCAGCAAGTCTCCTGCACGAAGGCTCTCAGCTCTCTCGCTCCATGAGTCAGCAAGCCCACTGTAGCTGCCTCACTCCATGGACCAGGAAGCCCACCATGCCGTCTCACACCGGTCTCCTGGTTCTGCTGCTGCTCCAGTGTTACAACTCTGTCTCCTGGGTCTAGGAGGTTCTCAGCCCAGGGACTCTGAGTCCAAAGGACATGCTCTGCTCCAGGCTCTTCTAGGTGATAGTGAGGTCCCCCTCAACCTCTATGGGATAGGTGCTTATATAGGAAAGTGGCTCAATCCTATTGGGTGGATTTTATGTACTCTATTTGCATAATAATTGACCAATCCCCTCTCTGGATTAAATGGCCAATCCCCTCATAAGTGGCTCCATGTGTTTGCATAATATCTGGTATTTTCTGCTGACAGGGACTGGCTTCTTCCCTAGGTAAAAGTAACAAGCTTCTCCAAAGGACTAGGGCAACTGTAACCATTCCTCAGGGCCCAGGGGAAAAATCTCACAGAACCAAAGCAAAACGCCACATAAAGAAACTCATTGCGCCACAAATACAAAGCCTAAAATTAATGGGAGTCAGTTGCATTTATGAAAAACTAATCACACATCAACAGTGAGACTTTGGTGATATCTGATAGACTGACAGTCTCATCCACCTTGTTGTTGCCAAGACTAAGCTGGATAATTCACTTCAAGGAAATGGGGTCACAAAAAAACATATTCAAAATAAATATAGTTCCAGAGAGTAAATAAGACAAAATCTTTTATCCTTGAGGTAGGTCGGGGGTTAACAGAATTAGTTGAGTTTTAGACATACGGAATTTAAGCTACTGGTAGAATATCCACATAGATATGGCTATAGGAAGTGGAGTTATATGAATCAGAAGCTCCAGGTCAGTTTAGGGCTGGAAATCACATTTCAGAGTTTTTAGCAAACACTGGGTGACTTATATCATGAGCATCTATGTAAGAAGAGCAGGGGAGTGAGGTCAGACCCTAGAGATGAATGATATTTCTGAGACAACTCTGAGTTGGAATGAACGCCACGTCAACTGGTATAACATTTAACACATGGTTGGAATTTATAATAATCATTAAAACCAAACCAAACCCGTCGCCACTCAAGTCGATTCTGACTCATAGCACCCCTCCAGGACAGAGTAAAACTGCCTCATAGGGTTTCCAAGGAGCAGCTGGTGGATTCAAACTGCCAACCTTTTGGGTAGCAGCCAAGCTCTTAACCACTGTGCCATCAGGGCCCCATAATAATCATTAGGAATACAAATTGCAAAATTTCCCAACAGGGAGCTGTTACTATAGAAGGATGAATGACATGCTAAAAACACAAGGAAGAATATTGTGTCACATAATTTAATTATAGCAGCCAAATGCAACACTACTGAATGACATGTTTTTAATACTGAGAGGCTGATGGGAACATGGTTAGTGAGAATAAAAACACATGGTGTTTGTTTTTTGCCCTGTTTTGTGTTTTGGGAAAGAAAGGATGAGTAAAGAGGTGAGAATTATAAATCTTCCTCAGGCAAAACACCCCCATAATGATAATAGAACTCTTGCTATGGGCCAAGCACTGTTCTAAGCTTTTCAGCGTGGTAACTCGTTTAATCTTTACAATGTACCTTTGAAGTAGCTATTATTATAATTATCTTTTTTTTCACATTTGGGGAAACTGAGGCACAGAAACATTAAGTAACTTGCATAAGATCACACAGTTTGTTCAAGTAGGAAGTACCTGAAATGGAGCTTCCAAGTCCTAAGTCCCCACTTCTATACTGGAGAAAAGTAAGACAGGAACACTGTTTAAGAAGAAGCTAAACAGTCTTTTAAGGGAATGCTAATGCACTTATCCATCATTAGAGACCCAGAAGAACCTTAGTAGGTGAGAGTTCTGTTGGTTGCCTCAGTTCAGGTGCAGTGTTATCAAGTAACAGTAACGTTTTTACCTCACGGTAGAGGATATAAAACTGTGTTAATAGATACTTGGAACAGGGCTTTATGAGCAGGAAATACTGTAATTTTCACCTTATCGAATAGAAATAATAAAATGTTCTATGCATCAGCAGACATTTTTCATCCTTTGTTGAGGTCTAAAATGTTTGAAGAAACCATAATCTTGAGTTTATGAAAACTACGACTCACTTTTTCGGTAATTGCCTGCCCTTAGAAAAAACAAACAAAACCCTTTCCCTGGAATCCAACTCATAGCGACCCTATAGACAGGGTAGACCTACCCCATAGCGTTTTCTAGGCTCTAAATGTTTCAGGAAGCTGACTCCCACATCTTTCTCCCCCTGAATGCTGGTGGGTTCGAACCGCTGACCTTTTGGTTAGTACCCAGGCGATTAACCACTGCCCAAACAGGGCTGCTTGCCCTTAGAAAAGATGGTTCCAAAGACCACACTACGGTACTCAAAATGATGAAGTCACGTGCACTCTCGTTCCGTACAAGAGACAACTCGTTGCCCTTAAGAAAGATGGCAACGTTCTGGCTTTGATGCCCTCTTCCAAAATGGCTATCTTGATAATAGTGGACCCATAGGCCTGGAGCCTCTTCCGGGCTTGGCAGGGGGCGGGGTCCATTGAGTAAAGCCTTGCGTGCCCGCGCCCGCGACGGAGGCGCGCTTCAAGGCGCAGGCGCGGGGAGGGGGTGGGGGAGGAGGGAAAGCGGCGAGTAAGATGGAAGATGAGGAGGTCGCTGAGAGCTGGGAGGAGGCGGCAGACAGCGGGGTAAGGAGGAGCCGCCGTCCCGGGGCAGGGCCAGGCGGGACCTGGCTTGAGGGAAGCCTCTGGGGAGCGGGTCTGGGGATGGCTCTCCCCGAGGAAGGACCCCACACGCCGGGACTGGGGTGGAGGAGAGGCCCCCGGTCCCTGAGTGCCTTGAAGGCCTCTTAAAGGGGCCACGTTCCATTTCTTCCTTCACCTTTGCCCGGTGCGCCTCCCTCCACCCCCTCGATGTGCGCGTAACTCTGGGCGCCCCACCCGCCACCCAGGTCCTCTTTTCCTGGCCCCCGCGCCCGCTCGCCCGTCCCAGGCTCCTTTCACCCTTCCTTTCCTGTCGGCACCCCCCCCCGCCCGAGGCACCATTTTAAAGTTCATGTGCTCTGATGAGGAGGGACACACCATGTGTGCGGCGGGTTGTGGGGCGGGGGGTGTTGCGCAGACCTGGGTGGCGTGTCCACCTCCGGAGAGGAGCAGGAGGAGGCAGCTGACGGCAGAAGGGAAATTGAATCCTCTTTGGGCCACTCAACTATCAGCTAAAACCCCCCACCGCTTTTTGCGGCCTCCGCCGCGTTCGGCGAGTCTGGGAGTTTTTCTTTCAGTTTTACTCTGAAACCCACTTGCAGCCGGGTCTCCCGGGAACCCCGCCAAAGCAACCGAAAGCTCAGCTTGGAGAGCCCCTATCCCCGGGGACCCACCCAAAGCTCTGAGCCCCTGGGGGAAGGTCTCGTAGTGTGCACGCCAGGGTCAAGGGGGAGGGGTACGATATGTAAAATAGCCGCATTTCTGGGAGGGGAGGGGGGGAATGGACAGTTCTGCTTGTTTTTGGAGTTTTTGTTTGCCTTCAGAAACTAGGAAAATAGTTTATCCCGAGCAGGAACAGACAGTTCCATTAGGTTCGTGGTTACTTTGGTCTTTTCAGAGTTTGTGGTTCTACTGTGACCCTAGTGAAGATGGAGAGATGCCTCTTGGGTCTCCTCGTGTTCCTGTCTGTCCAGCAGGTGGCTGCATCCGCCTTAATGGTTTATGTTTGGGGACTAGGGCGTGGAGAGCCGAATTCTAGGTTAGAATAGGAGCTGCTTTTTTTTTCCCGTAGCGCCTTTGAGGGTGTTTGTCAGCGCTGGGAAAGACCGAGCAATTGACTCTCGCAGCAGTGGGTGTATCTCTACCGGAATGTTGAAACTTGGCTTCGAGGTTTTTTTCCCGCTGGCTCAGCATTTGTCTTATGGTGTTTATGTTTTTCCACTTAGCATAATTGAGATTTTTTTTTTTATTGAGAATTTGAAGGATTAATTAGTTTGGAGGGTATTCAGTACAGTTCTGTGGTGACCATCGTTCTTGGATTTTGGTTTGAATAATGAGTAATGTAACGATTTTATAGGAGCAACAGGTGTGAGCTAGGTATTCATTCAACGAACATTTTTTAGTGTTTTCTATGTGGTAGGCATTGTGCTTAGCAGTGACTTTGTACCAGAGAATGCAGAATTTCAGGCAGAGTCGTTTATGGCCTGCCGCTAATAGGGATGAATCAGCTAAACACCCCTCATGCCCCGACCCCCTGCAAAAAAGCTTGGCCTACAATTGGAATGTGATGCAAATTATAAGTTGGCTATCTTGGCTTTTCCTTGTTTTTCCTTATTTGTTTCTAAGGGACTGTAAGTTTCTCTTGTTGGAGAAGAAAATAAAAGTCGTATCCAGCAGAAATCAGGGAATATTTTAGTTTAGATTAGTTTGGGTAAATCACTTAGAGATCAGGTAGTCCAGGCTTCCATTTTACAGCTAAATAAATTCTAGATATTTAAGATTTAATTTAGGTCTTTCTAATGCTTGCTCCGTATTTAGTAAAGCCCTTTAAAAGTGCCAGGTACAGAGATGTAACCCATTCTTTGCCTTATTGACATCATGAGCCGTACTGCCAAAATTCAAGTTCCCTTCTATATCTTTTATTTAATTAAGTTCTAGAAATAACTTGTGAGGGCATTATCCTCCTTTTATAGATAAGGAAACTGAGGTTTAAGGAGTAACCTTTCTTGCTCAAGCCACACAGATAGTAAGTGGGGAAGCTGGGATTTGACTCAGAGCTGAGTTCCTTCTCTAGTGTTTCACTGTTTTTACTTAGGGTCCTGTGGAAGACTTGAGTGTTGGACAGTTTTAATATGTTTACTTTGGGCTTATATTTGAGGACTGTCTTGAATTGGATCCCCTTTTCAGATTTCACAAAGGGTCTTATAAATGTGCACTTTTGAAAGAAGGGAGTCAGGGAAGGAATGAAGCACTCTGTCCACAGCACTGGGAAGCCAAGCAACTATATGCATCTGTTAGATGTAGCCAGTTGCATATATAAAAAGTCTTAGTTTCTGGTTACAGCTGTTTCCCAGCTTATATGGTAATGGGTGTTGAATATCAAAACAACAACAACAACAAAACTTGGTAGAGAGAAGACTAGCAAATGAGCATTGACTAGTTGAACTAAGTGAACACTCAAACTCCAGATAATCCAGAAACAATTTTAATTCTTGAAAATAGAGGCTTTGGTGATCCCTGCCCTCCAGTACCACACACACACACACATCATGCTAGAATTTCTTATGTGTCAGTGCATCTGAAGTCGTTGTTTCCTGTATAGCTTCAGAATACTCAGTACCAGGTTGTATTGTGTCATTCAGGAAAAGACTGACTTTGAGAAGTACCTCAGATATTCTGTAAATAGGCTGTTATTTGATTTTAGCTAGTATGGTAAACACTTACCTACTGTAAAATGGTTGCTTTACCTCTTTTCTCCTAAGGGGTTACTTCCCCAATTCAAGGAATGTACCTTAAGTTTCACCAAGAAAATGCTTCTTTGAGAATATACTGTCTTTGGAAGAAATAAAAATGTAAAATTGAGTTAATGTTGATCCTGACTAAATTGTATCTTTAGTCTTAAACCTCAGGGAACAAGTAGACCATTTTGTAATTGGAAGATACCTTTGTGCTTCAGAAAAATTCAGATGAACACTTAGCTCAATTTTTGATGGTTTGAAGCTAGTTTATGTTCACTAGTTGTTTAGAACAAAAAAAAAAAAATATGGCCTAGTCCATCTGGTTGGTAATCAGCTAACCAGTCTAGAGGAAGGCAGATGATACATAAATGGAAGTGGTTGCTGTTGTGTGCCAATTCTAACTCATAGTGACCCTATAGGACAGAGTAGAACTGCCCCATAGGGTTTCCTAGGCTGTAATCTTTACAGAAGCAGATCGCCACACATCTATCTCCCACGGAGCTGCTGGGTGGGTTCAAACCGCCGACCTTTCAGTTAGCACCCGAGTGCTGGTAGTGGACTGGTAGTTATTATAAAGCATTGGCAACCTCTTTTCCTTGTGGATGTGGAAACTGAAATTTTAGAGGGTAACCTCTCTTGCTCAAGTTACACAGGTAGTAAGTGGGGAGGCTGGGATTATGACCTAAAGCTGGGATCCTTCTCTAGCATTTTCTGTCTTCTTACCCAGGGCCCTGTGGAAGACTTGGGTGTTGGGCATTTTTAATACGTTTGCTTTGGGCTTATATCGCAAATGTTTCCTTTTATTCTTTTTCTCAAGGGCAAGCCATGTAGCTAATGGGAAGAATATGCATCTTAAGTATGTTAAAAGGATAACTGGTCTTCTGGGCTAAGAATTCAAATTTGTATTTACTTTCTACCTCCACTGAGCCAGTCATCTAAACCTGGGCTTCGAACTGGTTTGTCCCTGGTTTGAACCCCTGCTGAGAATTTGAATTTCCACCCTAGATATACTGAATCAGAATCTACATTTTAACAAGATCTCCAGGTGATTGTTACGTATAATAAATTTTGAGGACCACTGCTCTCCTAGTGGTTCTCAGAATTGGTCCTTAACCAGCAGCATTAGTATCGCCTGGGAACTTGTTAGAAATGCAAATTCTCAGCAGGGGTTCAAACCTGAAGGAACTGTTGGAAACCCTGATCTAAACATTGCCCTGTCAGTGATGCTGGGTGGTGTATATGTCTGTAGGAAGGCTGTATTGAGTGCCTATTATGTACCAGGTACTGAGGCACAGACAGGTTTAAGCCAGTGATTTCTGTGGAAGAGGCATAAACAGGGAACTATGGCTGGGGTCAGAGGAGGTGATGCCATAATTAAGATTTGAAGAACCAGTTGCATTAAGCAATGATAAGTCTGGGAGGTGCAGGTAGGGTGTAGGGCCAAAGCGCACACAAAGGCAAGGAGGCAGTGAGAGAAGAGTGTGGCAATGCTGGGAGAGTTACAAGTATTTCTTCTGGCTGGAGTGTAAAGGGTTGGCAGGGCTGAGTGGAAAGAGATGAGGCCAGAGAGGTATGCAGCGGCCCGATGGAGAAGGGCCTCCTGGTACTCGGTACTGGGGAGTTTGGACTTTGTCCTGAAAGCAGTGACGAGCATTGAGGCTCCACAGAGGAGTGACATAGTTAGATTTTAATTTAGGAGATAAGAACCTTGATTTGCTCTTCTTTTTTTTTTTAAGAGATGAGGCCATTCTACCTGAAGCGTGGCTACTACCTCACTTTGGGTGCCCTTGGTGTTTCCTGTAGTTGCTGTCGTTATGAAATGTGTGCAGGTCGGCTGTTGGTGGTGGGCTACCTGTGCTGATCCCCTCATGTCTGTCCTTACAGTAAAGAAAGTGTTTTAAGATTTGGTATCAGAAAGCACAAATCCAGGTGTACCATGCCTGAAGGGGCCACCTCTTAGCTATTTCTGGTCCTTTTGGCAAGGCCGAGTCCTAGGGACTGCAGTGTCCTCTGAGGGGGCTTTCTATAAAGAAATTGGCCGGTTTAGACATGATCGTGCTGAGTAGTCTGCCCCTGAGGCTCTGGAAAAGGACCTGTTTCACTGTGGTTTCAAAGGAAGGAAGATAATGAGCTTTTCACTAGTAAGTTCTCAACTCTTTTCATTGAGGCAGCATGGGGGGGCCTGTTCCCAGCGTGCTCTGGGTGTTGAGAGAGCTGCCATGGTTGCCATGGGCTGGAAATTTCAGG